TCCTAGTGTTTGTCGTAGTTAAAATATGATTAGGGCTAGGAAATGCGATTAATAGTAGGGATGCACCGAATCTTCGGCCAAGGAAATGATTCGGCCGAATATAGTAAAAAAAAACAAAAAACCACTAGTTTCTGACACAAGTGTCCGAGAAAGACACAAAAATCGCTGTTTGCAGACACTGTTCTACTGAATTGTCTCCTAGCACATTCACTCCATCTGTGGCTGACTTCTTAGAAAAGGCAACAAACGGACTGACCTGCTTTGAGTGTTTCTGTCACTCGTTTCTGAGAAGGCGATTAAGCTAAGTTCCGCACCTAAATTTGGATGTATTCAAGCCTTTATGGTAAATCCACTGAAACAAACTAGTGCAAGCTGATTAAAAGTAAATGGACACATCTAATTTGCAGGCCTTGGACCCACCCTCCATAGTCTCTGCAAATCCTGTGGGAAACACGAAGTAAAAAGCACATTTTGACTATTTAATTTATGCAATTTAAAAATTGAAAAAAATGTAAAAAAACCTTCCTTCAGCACGTGGGCAAAGTGTTACACATTCCTGTTTCTCCCTAATTCACGGGCCACTGACAGTTGGCATAGCCATATATCAATGAAGACGGCAACTGCAAGCTAGCAAACAGGGATGTAAACAATGCAGGACATGAGGTAAACTCCACAGCGCACCTTAAGAACATGTCTCACAAAACTGTGACTTTAATGAAGAACTGTGTGTAAAGCAGTATTTAACCCAACAGCCAAACATCTCCACAGTGCACAATTATGTTCAAGCAAACTACTATTAGCTTTGGAACACATAGGATTACTCTGTTTTTTTAAGTTTGCATGTCCATTTGGGCTTCCAACAATTATACTAACCAGACTCTAAATTCCCAGTAAATATACAGACTGGAAAATTTTTCCTTAAAGAATGCTCCCCTCCCCTGTGACCCCGTAGAGAAATAAGCATAGGGAAAATGAATGAAGTGTGATATGCAGCACTCTGCTTCATGAAGCCTGTCTGTCTCCCAATAGTTTCACACCATTACTGCCAGGGCCTATTAGCAATGAGTGATGTGGCTGCTAATTGTGAAAGTACTTGGAGAAGAGATGCTGTTGAAAATGACCTCGTTTACATTATGAACCTTTTTTTTCCCCCCACATGTAACACATGTAAGTGCTGTCCATAGAAGAAAAGAACAGCTCAGAATATGTATTTTTGGGATGCTGTTAGTATGCAATATCTGTATAAGAAATGATAGAATAATGGTCTTGAAGCGCCAGTGTAAACGCAGACTTCTCTCCCTGAAGCCTGGGCTTTCTGGCAGACAGGCAAAACCCATTAGCAAGGCTCTGTTAGCGATCGTCGTGTAAACCGAGGCCCTGAGCATTCATTAGGCATCAATCAAAGGACGAGGTGCGATAATTAAATGATGAGTGCAAATGCTTAACGGTGTTCGGTACACCAGGCCACTTTACTGTGACACTTGAAAATGGGGGAAAATGGATGGAAGAAAGATGATGTTAGTCTGAGTGTAGATGGCTGAAACTGGTTAATTTGTTCATGGAAGTTATTAAAGAAAGTGACTTTCAATACCTTGAAGTTACAGATTGATGATGCCTACAAATGCTGGTGGAGCAAAGGGAAGTCAGAGTGCCCCCGTTGGCTCACAGTAATCATTGTTAAATTACACTTAATTTAGGATTTCACAGCCAATTTCAAAGCTCAGAAAGTATCAGTAGGCATTTAGTAGGTCGACTCTTTCCAAAATTGAAACACCAGAACCAAGTTTGGGATCTGCGATGCGCTGGAAACTAATAATGCTTAGGCATCCGTCCCTCATATGTTTCAGGGTTGCGAGCAGAATCTGAAATGAACTTTTTCACAGGTATTGTTTTTGGTGTGCCAATTCTGAAATCTATGTGCTCTATGAAGGAATAACATTTATATAACTTAAACATCATTTCATCTTAAAACATTGTCTTTTAATGTTCGATTTATTAACATTACATCACATCACTAACAACCAGGTATTTCAAATTTACCTACATGTGGCGGGAGCTCATTTCAGACGCTGGTTATAAGGATAAAGTGACAACTGATTTTAAATATTTATTAAGTGTTAATCTGAAAAATGACACACATTGTAAAATGAAATAAGACCCAAATCCGGCAGTATTACCAAATCATTAGGCTCCATCTAGTTAAGGGTCACTGTGTTAAAATGTAGTTTTTAGGGCTGGCCTGAATGTCATTTTTTTGAGCTTCAAAGCTTCGATAGTAATTAACAGCGAATAATGATGGGAGGGGGGGGGGGCTCACAGTGGTCCTGATTGTTTAAAGGTCTGTTGATAAGCATGCTGTCAATTCACGAGCTATAGCTACGTATTTCATAAACAGAACAGAACAGCAGAAGGGAGGATAAATGCCCAGGAAGTTCTGCCAATGACATGAGTAAGGCAGAATTGGATGGGGGCTATGTAATGCGTGTATGGGTACCTATGAGAGAGAAAAGAGAACGAGAGAGCATTCCTTTTATTTATTGTAATAGCTAGGCTAATATATAACGCGTTAGAAAAGTAACGCAAATTTCATGTATTGCGTTTTGCTTGATCGTAGTACATGACCCCTTTACAATCACTAACAACCAGGTATTTCGAAGGCACCAGGAGACAATTGACCTGCATGAGCTGATTTCAGACCTTGGTTGTGAGGTAAACTGACTTTTAATATTTATTGAGTGTTACTCTGAAAAATAATAATAATGTAACATTAAAAACTGAAATGATAAGAGCCAACTCTGGCAGTATTACCGAATCTTGAGGCTCCATCCAGTTAAAGGTCACTATGTTAAATGTAGTTTTATTATTTAAGTGTATATTTAGCTTATATGGTGGAGTTACCAAGAGGGTGTGAACTTTTGGTATGAGCAACAAGGTCAGTAATGGTCATTAAATTGTGTGGGGTGCATTTTGGATGTAGCTTTGTAGGATGAAGGTGAAGTATTTCATGAATATGTCATACGGCACTACTACTAAATTTCCTTCCACAAAATATAGGAGAACCCAATTTTAGTTAGACTTCTACAAATGACTAACACACACACTGACCACACTGCGCACAGAGTGGGAGAGATATGGGGGAATTAATCGGGGGCCCGTAACTTATTTCTGCCCTAGGGTCCCCTAGCAGCTTAATCTGACGCTTCACCAATAACGCATCGACACTTTACATTAATGTCAAGCATTCAACAGTTTTTTTTCCACAGTAGAAAAAAGCAGAAATACCTTGAGTGGGTACTGAAAGCATGATATTATACAGCAATAGACAAAGCACTAAGATGATATTTGTCAAACATATTCCACTCATTCATGAATGGAGAGAAAAATGGGGCTTTCAGAAAATACAATGATTTCCCAAGAGATTACTGAGCTCATTTTAAATTAAGTCATCACAACTAATACAGCTGGAATAGTGGTGTGTTAAGCTGCTGTAACATTACAATTTATGCTGAACAGTTTTACTTTACGGTATGAATAATTATTATCAATATTCCCATCATCAGCTATGTTAGCACTGCTATCGTATGTTTTTCTGAGCATTAAACATGACAGACATATGTACTGTGTGTGTGTGTGTGTATGTTGGTGTGTGTTAGTGTACTCCTTGCTCTGTCAGTACGGCTGAGCTCCAGTAGAGCTGACAGCTTGCTGTGACAGACAGCCTTAAACAAACCCACTGGGTCGGCTGCTGCACAGGAGAAATGCCTTTGATTCTATTAGGCCTGTGTGTGTGTTTGTGGCTATTTGGCTTAGAGATTTCAAGCCTAATAGCTGGGTGAAGAGGTGAAGGACTTCCCTACTGCTGTGTTTCATCTCCAAACACTCTTTGATCCTCTGCTCTGTCCAGGAGTGTGTGTTAAGAAACAGAAAGTGGTAATATTTTATGCATAATTAAATGTTATGATAATCAACATGATCTGTTTAGTTCTGGTGTGGAGAGCGTCTGTCCACAATTCCTTTCTTCTCATTTTATGATCTTCAAACCTTCCCTTTCCATCTTGGTTTTACGCAAATAAATAAAAAAAAGTGTCTTAAGCCTTATACAACGGTCCATTAACACATCTGCATGTCATAACTAACTTTATATCAACATGTTCACTGTAGCTCAAGCAACGAGTAGACAAGGTCACATTATTCTGCTTTGTGTCTGTTATAAGCAGGAAAAGCCAAATAACTAACCAGACCAAACTAACCCAGACCAGCAGAAGTGCAGGCAGTGTTTCCAGTACAGTCCCGTTGGTCCCCTGGCCGTCCTGTCCCACACAATGCCTGTTACAGTACTCACTGGGTATTTCCAGTTATGGAATGCTTGCTCAACACTGCTGTCTGGTGAATATGTCCAAAACATGGGTTTAACTGGACTTATAAGTAGATGTCATGTTATTTTAGTATTTGGGGTATGCAAATCTAATCCAATCTCCAGTCTGTTACAGTGGAGTCGAAAGAATGCAGTATTTCACTTGTTTCTAGTATAGAGGAAAGTTTAGAGGTTTGAAGAGGTTAAAGTGAGTTTTGAAGATAACTTGATGAGACGAGACAATACACAATATTGGGTTCACGGGAACGAGACAAGACAACATTTTAAGACTTAAGAAATTTTCCATCAGGTACTCAAAATGCTGCCACACAAACAAAGTGTTGGGGGCACCTTCTGTGCTAATTTCACCCTCACGCCCACACGCTGATATCGTGAAACAGCTTTTTACCTTGATGAGAAATATTGTCACATTTTAATATTGCAAGATCTCGTAACATCCCTAATATTCAGTATTTGACTTATTTTAAAGAGGCCAGAAGAGTTAATAAGTATCCTGTATGCAAAGTGCATTTCTTTGGCTATTTAAAAACGGAAAGGAGGGAAGGATGGTCTCATAAATTATATCAATGGATTTTATGATATCAAATTTTTCAGTGTGCTTTATCAATAATATTGTTTGTTACAGCGGCTGAAGATGGAAATCTCTGATTGACACGCTTCTTTACGGAAAGGAGATATCACCCCCAGTTCCACAGCATCTGTCCTGCAGACTTTCATTAGTTTAAAGTGAAGACAGAGCCTCACGTGGAGCTGCATCTGATGAAGACACATACTGAGTGGACGAACTCAGAAACCAACTACCTACTGCTGAAAAGTGGTGTTGAAGTTGCCACACTGGATTCATAACTAACTGCAGCTTTTAGGAAATGTACAATCCTGAACAAACCTACTTTCTTTCCTGCTGTTGTCGGGTGACTGTGTGATTCTGTAAGCTTCAAGGAAGTGCCTTCATACATTCATGGAGTATTTATAAATACTGCCTTATTGTCCAACTGAAATTAAATATAGTCTAAGTCCCTCTACTTCCGGTGGACCACTATAGGACCATATTTCTAATTAATTAGGCAACTAATTATTTTATCCCATTTGAATTTAGCCCAGAATTACACATACACAGTTTGTCAATTTAAGTTTTGTAAGTCACGGAAGTTGCAGTTTGTCGTTAAGGGTGCTCCGGTCGATCGTAATCGGCTGATAATGGCTTTAACTAGTTTGATCGGTGGTCGCTAAAAAGGCCGATAAGAAAAACCGATCAGATGATCCAATACTTGCCAGGCAAATTTTCAACGGCAGCTAAAATGGTTTCACTATGCGGTCTGAGCAGTTTTCAAAGCCAGCTAGCACCAACGTCCGTTCAGACAGGAAGCGACTGACGCACCCAGTTAATCATTTACAATGAGAGTTGAGCAGCGATCATGTGAAACTGTCACGGTCGTGCTCATCCCACACACACACGCCGCCCGCAGGTGGAGTTTAATAGTCTACACACTCAGCGCATCAGGCAGAGAGAGACTGATCCTTCAGTGCGAGTTTCCTGATGCAAAGAGAGGCGCCATGCACTCAATCAGCTGACTGCCTCTCTCTCTCCATTTTCGTTATAAAACGGAGACCTTTTGCTACGTTTCCGCCTCCCAGATTAAAACGGCGAACCAGAAGATGTTTGTTTGAAAACGCAGCTGACCCGGTGGGCAAAAACGGAGGACATTATAAAATGATGACACAGACACTGACATTTGGCTTTCTGATTCAGTCTTATAAGTCATACAAAGCAAAACATGATGCAACTGACAGAGTTTTAGTTTCGGTATTTTTATTAAAATATATGTACTGTGTAAATAACACTTAACAGTTAGCCTACTGTGCATGTCGCTGTATTTACTTTGCAACGACTCCCAGTCACCAGCCACCCAGTCCCAGCCGCCACCGTCTCTTTGTACTCCCGTGTTAAGTAGCAGTTCCACTTCGTTGTCGGTCAATTTAAAAAAATACCTGGTGTGTGGTTCTTCATCTGTATTACTTTCTTCTTTCGCCAAATGTTCTGCAACTGCGGAGTACCGTTAGACCATCTGCTTCATGTTTACACCTGCATGCACATGGCCATTAGATGTGTGTTTCAGTCGTTTTAATATGGACGGAGACCAACTCTGATACGCAGCTAAAACGCTGCTGTGGACGGAGAAGATCGTATTTGTTATGAAACTGTTTTAAAAACCGTAGTAGTGTGGATGTAGCCTAACCCCACTCCTCTCTCTCCTCCTCATGTCAACCCTCCCGTTTTCCCCGGGATTCTCCTGTATTTTTCTGTTCTCCCCCGGTATCCTCCCCTTTAAATGTTTCCCTATAAAATTTCCCATATCTTTAACTAACTAACTAAACCTGTGTTTGCTACTCTCTCCTCTGGTAATGCCGTTGGCAGTAGGCCTATGTAAAAAGATGTACACTGTGCTTCTTGCACAAGGATTAAATAAATAAAAACAATCCATTGAAATGATATAAGGCCTATAGCCTGTAAACCATATGAAATTATAATGATATTAACGATATACTAACAGTATAATATGGAATTAACATTGTACTTTTATTATTTAAATGTCCCTAATTTTCAAATGTCATTGATGACAGTTAAGACTCCTCTCTTTAGCCTACTCTCCCTCTTTCTAGTCCTCTCTCTCCCCCCTAAAGCCCACACAACCTGCCTGAGCTTTCCAGAACAAAAAGCGGCTACTTCAGAGTTTATCATCAACTCATGATGCCTTTGCTCCTTTATCTCCTAAATAGTTTGGCTACAGCCGTTTTTGTACTTTATTCCACAGGAAAGCTATGTTTGTTAAGCTATAAGATGTTCACAGTAACCAGGCAAAGGTGTCTAAGACAGAGGGAGTGGAATTTGTTGCCAATGTTTCCTGGCCATAAAATAAACCGTTGTCATTTCATGATACTTTATCATCTGTTAATTTTAATACTTCATACATTGTTTTTAGTACTAATTAAATAAATATCCAGTACACTATATAATGCTACATCGTAAATAAAAGGCTTCAAATAGACCCAGTGATCTGTATTGGCAGATACTGCTTACAGCAATCAGTGATCGGCCCATAAAATGCTGTTTGTCATAAAAGTGTTTAAGTGAAAGATTATTAAAATACTCAATTAGAAAGACAACAAACCTAAAAGTTCTCTCACTGAGGCCAACGTTACTGAAGTTAACGATACTGAAGCTAATGCCAAAGAACTTCCATGTGTAGATGATGTGATAAAAAGCATTACCGCATTTACATTTATTTATTTAGCTGATGCTTTTATCCAAAGCAACTTACAATTGCTATTTATGTCAGAGGTTGCACGCCTCTGGAGCAGGGTTAAGTGTCTCGCTCAGGGACACACGGTGGGGAATTGATCCCTTATCCACTACACCATCACCCCCCTCCATTACATGTTGGTAATGTATATTGTGCGAGACGAGAGATGTAGTTCATTGAACAGTTTTCAAACAAAATAAATGTTACTTTACTGTTTAATGACAAACTAACTGTTTTTTGTTGCAGGGCACAATTCTAACAGAGTACAAAAATAAGTTGTCTCTCGCCTTTAACTGCTGTACACATTTTCTCCGAAATACGGTCCAAGTGGGGTTAAGGTCGTTTGACAACCAATCAAATCGCTTCCTTTTAAACCACATTTGGTTTAAGCAGTAACGACACAGTTTGATCATAGGCAGACAGTCACTAACATCCAGCCCACATTAGCTTTCCTGCTAAAGTCTCCGTCTTATCAAACTTACTAACTTTAACACACATCTTGTTCTGTACCTTAGCTTCTTGAATGAGCAACCAAACAAACATTCTAAAAAGCTAATTAGCTTTAAACATACCTTTGGTCCATTTAGATGCTGGTATGGTCCTAACTTTTAAATATCACTGCTAATAACACAGGGCTGTCTGCCCATGTTTGTTTACTTTTCCTTCTCTTGCCTTGCCAGAGCTCAGTCTGCCAGCTGCTGTCAATCAAACACAGACACTCCCCTTCAGTTGACTGAGAGGAAAAAGGGCATTTCTGAATTTTAAAGACTTATATTTCTTCCTTTTAATAATAAACTATATATATTTTTGACTGCACAAAGGGATTATTAAATAAGATTTCAGTTGGACTTTAATTTAACCCAGTACAGGCTACATTGGTCTCTCTCCATAACATATAAAAAGCTGAGCACATGAAGGGTTTACATGATGAACTTGATCCTTTATATTAAAATCTGAGCCCTTGTTATGATATTATTTGTCTTTGTTATTGCCTTAGGCTAATCATTTTGTAATAGCACTCGATATGCATGTAAACAAGCTTTAATTATGCCATTCTCATCCTGAAGCTCTGCGTGGTTGGGTCAAGTCTGTCCAAACAAGACCGCAAATATAATGATTTGTACGACTATGTTTCTAGTAAAGCGCCTTGTAGTCAAAATTCAGAAATAGGTACAACCACATTCATCTTATTTGGAGTCATTTGAAGGGGCCTCATTACCTCAAGAGTGTAATTCACCTGGTGTAAGTCAGCGTGATAAAAAAGCATCTCACACAAAGCAAGAAACACAAAGAGCTATGATCTGACAGAGCTGATGAGGGTGTAGCAGGCAGGACAGGAGTGATGTCTCTCTATTTGTTCACTTATCAAACAAAGCCACCACACAGGCAGCGACTCTCAAAGGTCAACATGTTCTAGACACTATTGTAAATGAAACCATCCAAATGTCCCTAAAAACCTGATTCTCCTTAGCTGTCATTTGAGTCTCCTATGAAATACCTCAAGACTGACTCTGCTGGATTTCCTTGATGCTTTAAATTCTGTGTTTCAAACATAAAATGTGCTTGTCTCTCTCCATGTGTGTCTGTGTTGGATGTAAAAAAACAAAGGCCAAAAGAGAGGTGGTTGTCACAGTGTGAGCAAAACAGATCATACAAGCCACTTAGCAGCACTATAGCCAACTGGTACAAGGGAGCGAGAGGAAAATCCAGCCATGCCAGCGTGCCAATATAGTTTACCAGCTCGCTGAGAGGCGGGCAGCACCTGACAGATGCCACTTGGGAGCATAAATCCCAGTGGGCTGAAAAGAACCTCCACATGACGGGAAGTCAGTGAAGCAGGAGGAGACTGGAATACCAAACGACAAATTGCAATGTTAAATGAAATATCTATGTTTCTATTTCTTCCTTTTTCACTGTGCTTAGAAACGTCAGCACCAAAATAGAGCCAAGTAGAAGAAACTCATCACATTTCTACAAGGCATCTATTAATTCAGAATGTAAAATATATAATCAGAGGAATAATCAGCAACTATGATCATCATGATCGAATAACTGAACTGAAAAATTACTTTAGCAAAAATGCCAAACATTTGCCAAAAATTTGTGGAAATGTTTCTTCAAACTGAATATCTTCACCTTGTTCACTGTTAGATGGACCAAAAGAAAGTAATTTAAATATATCACCTTCAGCTCTGGGAAATTATAATTTAGATCTTTTTCAGGGCAATTTTTTATTCTATCACAGTTTACTGACAAAAAAATATTATTATTAGCAGTAGTAGAAATAGTAGTAATATTAATATTTGCTACATTTTAATAAACACATTAAATTCAACATTATTATTGTTTAAAACCAGCAGTCTCTCCAGATCCTTACACTCATTAAAATAATATCAGGAAAAGTCCTTTTAATAAGAACCAGAGCCTGTAAGCATCCTGGGCCTCTTGCAGTGGGCCTGCAACTGGTTCATGTTAAGTTTATTAAAATGTGGTCAATAAAAGCCTATGATATTTCTAACAGTTATTATAGGATTATTACAGTAGGGTTTTATTAGTATGGTGGGCTAAATCTCTCCCTCTTTCTCTCCTGCTCACCAGGCTTTGGTGAAACAAACAAAAGAGCCGCTTTGAATGCCACGTGCTCCAGGCGTCAGTCACCTGTTTCCTAGCAACAGGCACAACAGAAAAGCACCTGTGGCTCTGAATAAGAGGCTGTGCCC